CAAGACTACGGAAGATTACGGAAATAATCGACAACATTGAGGAAAGAAATGCAATAAATAGAAGAATGTAACAGGCATATGTTATAATGCCCCACTAAATTTAACAAAAATTTGGTCACACTCAAAAGGAGTCATTTCGTATTAAAATTGATTGATAAACCAAATAAGCAATTAGCACTAAGATACGTCTCACCGGGAAATTGTAATCAAATCATCCTTATCTAGACGCTGACACTTAGGCTGATCTTTGAGCAACGACTGTAGTAGACTAAGCCGCATTGTTTCATCTGGCATACCGATGAATACACGCCTGGAAAAGCGTCTCAACGCAGCGTTATCCAACTCTTGAGGGCGATTCGTGGCCGTTAGTACAAGTACTCTTTCAGACCCAGAGGCAACCTGAATTGAAGTAGATCATTGAATTTTTAAAGTAAATTTTAATTTAATGGATAGGGAAATAAATAGTAAACACAATGGCAACAAAGGTGATTTGGAAGTTATAAAAAATATGGTCAGGAATGGTGATGAGAAAATTCGATTCCTAAGATTTTTCTGGGCAACCTCATACAAAAAAGAAAAAAAAAACTAACCATGATAAATTACAGAATGCGCACAAAAAGATGATATATACAATTATATCTAAAGCATACTCTTCCTTTACTTCGTTGCTCCCCCCTTAAGCTGAATATTTCACCAAAACGTAGTACTTAGCATGCTTAGAGATGATATAATAGGTCAGTCTCCTTCACCTGTATAGAGTTGGTCGTAGTGACGGTGAGACCTTCATTGGACGAACCTAGTGCTATGTCTTCTGGTAAAGTATTCATGATTTCCCGTATCAGACTATTTACTTGCTACATGCCTAAACGTTTCGACGGCATCATCAGTGATAAGTGTTATAGTCAGCAAAGAGTGGCAACTAATCAGAGAAAATAGTAAAGGCAACCCTCGTGACTAATTTTCTGTTCAGCAGTTGTCATCACTCCTCAATTCTATTTTATCCAGGGTTCTAGTGCTGGATTTCTTTCTCTCGGATCTTAGATTTTGTATTATTGATAGAAGTTGCCTTATAAAACTAAGCGAGACCTTCAGAGCGCATTCCAGGATCCAGTTAATATTAGGACCCAAGAAAAAATTATATACAAGTTGTTTGACCTTGTTTTCGCAACTTGGTCATATTAGTAGGAAGACTTAGAGGAACGCACCTTTACTGAAGTCCATTCTATGCATAATCATTTTCAAAGTCGGACCGTGGACGTCGTACATTCCCTGACGTTTCGCCGGCATCGTCAGTGAGTCTGGCCATTCGTAGCACCATATTACAACTAATCAAAGAAACAAGTGAAGTCGATCCTTTGACCAAACGTGTGCTAGACAGTTGTGGTATCTCCGCTTATGCCCTGAACTATTTACATTTCCTATATCCTGCTATTACGCAGTCATTGTCACAATTTTTACCGTGCTTATTTCGATGTAGTGATGTGCTCCTTCGAGCGGCATTCATGAAAGCCCTTCACACTACACTCTGTAGTCCTCACCCCCTTCACCCTAGTGCTGGGAATGTTGACCAGAGTCTGTCATATTGTCACGTAGTCGTTTCTTGGGTCCTATAAGAGTCTCTCTCTTGCCCCGTAGAATCCGTCTGCTATCTCCCTGGTACATGTATTTCACTCGACCCCTTCCCTCTCCATTTGTGCTACTCGAGGCGTAATTCGTCCACCCATGCGCCTGAATGACTAATTCGAGGCTAAAGCCTCTAAGTCTAATGGTCACGCCTTTGCCACATGGACCACGTCTCTTATAAAACTTACTGTCAGCCCAGTAGCTCTCATAGCCGCCGTATCTATCCTCTTTCTAGCTCTAATACCAAGTCTATGAATTCCCATGCCCTAGTCTCTTGTGTGCCAAGCCACAAATGTTGTGGTACTGTTTGCAATGGTTAGGTTCAATGTTAAACCACAACGTTTGTGGGTTGGTATAGCAAGTCATAAACTTGTTATAGATAGAAAGAGGATAGAAAAAGTGGAAGCTAGAGCTAGTGGGCTAACAATAGTCGTGATTCAAGGATCACGTTTATGATTAAACGCGTCTATTTTTAGCCAAATAGCTTTAGTCTCCACCGCGTCTTTCCTATTTTTATCTGTAATACTATGTACATCACTTCCTACGTCCTAGTCTCTTGTGTTCCAACCCACAATTGTCGTGTTTCTACTTGTTTTGATTAGGCTCACTGAAGACGTCTCCTCTTGGCTTCTGATTATTCCTTTCTAATCCCCCTACGATCTATTTTCCTAAAATTAAGAATATTACCTTGATCTAGTCGTCTTATTTTTG